AAAATGAATAATTTTCTAAGAAAGAGTATTTTCTGCAACTGACACCAGAAGAGAGAAAAACCAAAATGGAGAAATTGCCTTAAACCAGAAGAAATAAAGTTAGGGGATAAAGCTGCCCTCCAAAATACATCAGACCCAGCTGGTTTCTCAGGGGGAATGCCCTCAAATATTTAAAGAAGAGATCACTCCAGTGGTATTTAGGTGTTTTCAGAGCATATAAAAAGATAGAAAGCTTCCATAGTCTTAAAAATAATGAAATGAGGGGGCCGGCCCAGTGGCGCAAGCGGTTAAGTGTGCGCGCTCCACGGCGGCGGCCCGGGAATCGCTGGTTCGGATCCTGGGCGCACACTGACGCACTGCTTGGCAAGCCGTGCTGCGGCGGCGTCCCATGTAAAGTGGAGGAAGATGGGCACGGATGTTAGCCCAGGGCCAGTCTTCCTCAGCAAAAAAAGAGGAGGATTGGCAGATGTTAGCACAGGGCTGATCTTCCTCACACACACACACACACATAAAAATTGAAATGAGTATAACGTTGATATCAAGACCCAATAAAGATAGGACCCCACTCCCCCAAAAAGACCCCCACAAATGTCAGCCTCAGTTATGTATATTGATGGAGAAATTCTAAATAAAATACTAGCCATTGGAATTCTACAGCACATTAAAATAATAATACATTATAACCAAGTGAGGTTCATTGGGGAAATGCAAGGATGAGTCAGTATTTGGAATCTATAAATAGAATTCACCTAAATATTAACTGGTCAAATAGGAAAAAAAATATATTTGTATATGCTTAAAAGCATTTTTTGAAATTGGACATTCATTCTCCTAAAAAATTCTTGAAAATTTAGAATGCATGGACACTGATTTCACATGATAATATATATATCTATGGCAATATAAAGCCAGACTATATCACATTAAAGGCAGGAACAAAATAAGAATGTCACCTCTTATCAGTTTTATTAGTATCATTTCTTTTCTGGAGATACTAGCCAAGAAAATTAGCCTGAAGACAGAGATTGGTGGTATAAAATTGGAATGGAGGACTCACATTTAGCAGTGTTGTTTCTGCTCTCTTGGTTTGTTGTTTTCAGTTTTAAATTTCTCCTCTTTATTGTACCTTGTTGAGCCAAAGTTTTTTTCCTTTTGGAGAAAGATTAAATTATTATTATTATTTTTAAAGAGGATCCCAGCCATTGGAATACTTTTATTGTTTTATTCCTGTACAACATAGTATGTAATTTCCAGCTCTTCTTGGCTGTCATTGTGTACCATGGATCTTCTTTTAATTCTCAGAATTCCTTCCTCCCCATGTTTTAGATAAAGGAAGTAGGTAAGGGTGTGTGTGTGTTATGTCTGTGTGCACGTACACACCAGTTCTGGGTTGGGTACTATTGATCAACATAGTAGAGATTCGAAAGTACTGAGCAGTTATTTTCAGTACTTTTTTATGCTCATAATAGAAGGCAGGAAAAGGATTTTACAGCTGTGGTTTATTTAATATAGTTTGGGTAACCATGATTGGGCTTTTCAGTTTAAATATCTCCACACATCATTGAGAGGTTTAAAACAAATGATTGCATTGGGACTAGTTAAGCTTTATTTATACTTCATTTAAAACAATTTCTACTGTATGTGTACTAAAATTAGATTATTGGCACCAGATTTCCTTACAAAAATGAACATTTATTTTCAAGATGTGTGTAAATGAAGATAATTATAGCTTTCCTATAAGAATTGGTTACATATAGAAATGATTTTTATTTAACTGACTTTTTCTGATTACAAATGTAGTTATAGAAAAGAAACTCTTAAGGACACATCCATATATACTAATATTGTGTAATGTATATACATCTTGAAATGTTCTTTTTTCTTAATGGTGTATTTTAAATATTTTAAGATGCCATTCTTTTTTAGGATCTTACTTTTGAATAATTGCATATTTTTTTATCATATGAAATTAATGTAACCAGAGTTTCCCCTTCTCTTCAGACTTGTTTACTCCTAACTCCTTTCTTTCCACAACTCTTTCCGCTTTTACTCTCATTGTTCAGGGGGGAGAAATGAAATACACTTTTGTTACATGTTTGAATCTACAAAGGGAAAGGTTTAGTTAAAATAAATGAGATGTTACAGATTGGGCTGTAGATAGTAATAGATGCTAATTTGCCTTATTGATGATTAAGCCATATCTTTGGTTCTATGTTTGTCTATTGGATTCCAAAATGTTACTACTCAGGGAAATTTGCCAAACTATTTCAGCGTGAATTGGTATATTCGCTGGGTATAAAGGGAAATTACGGAGTGGATAATGTAAAGCTATGCCATGTTATCCAGCATGAAAGCCACTAGCCACATGTGGGTATTTAAATTTGAATTAATTAAAATTAAATAAAATTAGAAATTCAGTTCTTCAAGTACACCAGCCACAGTTCGAGTGCTCAGTTACCACATGTGGCTGATGACTAACTGTATTGGACAAGCAGATACAGAATGTTTTCAACACCATGGAAAGTCCTCTTGGGCAACCTTGGGGTGAAGTTGATATGTGTTACCTGTTTATTATATTAGAATTTAAAAATAATTTTGGTTTTTAAATTTTCTTCCCTGGTATTATAAATACTAGTAAAAAGCAGAATTTCTGTCAATATTTTTGGACACAGTGAACAGCTCAAAATTATTTAGAGTAATTTTTACTTTCCTACCAACTTAATTTTTTAAATCATGTGCTGAGGGAAAACACATATCAGCAGAGTTGGCAGCATCTTAAAATTCTAGGAGAGCATTTAAAGAATTCTTGATATAGTACAAAATCCTGGGGAGGCGGGCAGGGTGGGCTCTTATATCACTTGACTGAGGATCTAGAGAAGATGATGTAGAAAGAGGAGCTGATTGTTTTTGCAAGACACTCAGAAGAAACAAATTAGGTGGAAAAATATGTATGTATTGGGGGCGTGTAATGTTAGGTTATAATTATAGTGTTAATATAAATCAATCTAGGAAAATTAGGAACCATAGGAGAGAGAAAATAAGGGAGCGGAGTGGAGAGGAACCGTCACTAATCCTGTCATCATTGCACATGGCATTGCTGTTTGTGCTGTGTCTGTCCAGCCTCCTTTCTGTCATACTGGTTCAGCAGTGAATGAGGTCAGTGAAGAAGGCAGACGAGATGTTGAGAGGCCTGAGAGGCAGGCAGGCGGAGTGATGAAGGGCTTTGGTACTGAGCCAGATGGCCTGAGTTTTAAATCCCAGCTCTGCCATTTACTACCTGTGGGACCACGGCAAGTTATTTCACTCCTGTGTATCTGGTGTATCTGTAGAATGGGATGGTGGTGCAGTCTGCCTCTTAGTGTTCTTGTGCGGTTAAGGAATTAAAATATTAAACGCATCGAAGACTATATTACTAATAGTGCTGATAACTATTATGTAGGTAATACAGACACGTGGTAAGTGCCTAATAAGTATAAGTCTTGGTATTTATGATTGCAGAGAAGCAGACATTTAAACAAGTAGTTGCAATAAAGTTAGATGAATTTTATGAGCGAGTTCAGTGTTCTATGATAGTATATATTGAGGTGACCTAATTCTTGATAATTATTTAAGCAAAATTAATTTAGCTCTTAGGATGGTTGGTTTTGTTTTACATTACACTTTAATAGTTTCTCAAATCAAATCTTAATCCTTTTATAGCTTGTATTCTTGAAAATTTGTTTATTACCCTGATGTGATAGATGTTTAAAGGTTCCAAGGTATTAAGTCAAAATGTTGCCCGTATCATTCTGGTAATATCATAAGTGTCAAAATTCTTTCCCTGATGCTTTGCCTTATGCACCAGGTTGCCAAAAAGGTAATAGAATCCTCTCTTAGCAATAGCATCTGGCTAATCAAAATAAAATCTATCTTCCAGACTTTTACAAGAAAGTTTGGTTAGCTTTGAGTATAATTAAAGAGTGCATTACTTGATACCTATTAAAAACAGGAAATTGTGAGGTGCAACTATTTCATATATATTGGGGGAGAATTTCTTCAATTATAAGTAAAAAGAGGCTACAGTAAGTTTTCAAGTATAAAATTTTAAGGGCACCTATATAAAAGAGCTGAAATAGATTAAACTTAATTGCCGACAGTTATGCATTTGTCAAAGCATCTTATGTTTCTTAACTGTGATACTAGATTTCTTAAGGAACTCAGTTTGTCTTATAATGCGTCAAGATGTATTCTTGCCTTTGTCTTTCTTGGGTAATGATGATGGGAAATGAAGTTCCAAATTTTTATTTATTAAGATAATTTTACTTGTTTTACAATGTGGAAAATTATTTTATTTAAGCTAACTAATTATGAGAAATGTCTCTAGTTATGAGAAATCCCTTTGTTTCTTAGAAATTTGAATTGGAGGGAACAGTTGATGGTTTGGGAAAAAAAAGAATAAGTAGAAGGAACAATGTGCTTGGTGAGGTGTTCCTGGCGTGCTGCTCACAGGCCTGCACAGAGCCCGCTTCTTCACTCCTGGGGGCAGTTACATACCGAGCTGTTAGGATGTGACTGCCAGTTTATCGCTTTGCTTTAATCACAATTTATGTTTTTAGCAGGAATATAGACTACAACCAATACTTGAAGTGTTGAAGCCATATGTTTTAGAAATTAAAGATAAAGCTAACATTTGTTTGGGGGGAAAACAAAGGTTTAGTTTTTATGTGGGTTCTATTGATGAAGTTTTTTTTTCCATTTGACTTCATGTTATAAACACTAGACCGTAGTAATAGATGTAATAGATGATAGTAATATACTAATAGTAATAGATGAATTGTGTAGTAATTAGTAGTAGTAATAGATGCATTATGCACACATATTTGTCATTTATAGGTTTATATACACGTAATGTTTGTTTAGAATGTTCTATGGATCAGTTTCTAGTTAAAATGGTAAAAATATTTAAATATCTCAGATTGTTTACTAGAAGGTGAACTTATATTCATTTGCTTTTCTTCCAGATTCATGAAAAACTACACTACTATGAGAAGCAGAATCCCATGCCCATCCTGCACAGCGCGGCAGCCTTGGCCGATGACGTAAGTGTGCCTTTCTGAGCTCACGGGGACACATCTCCCACAGGCCTAGCCACGGCAGAACTCATCCTCACGCAGACAGATGCCTGGGATCCTATAAGTGAAAACCAGAAAAAGCTGCAAATGCTTCCAAAAGCCCTGTCATCACTGAGCTTACGCTGCTGTTATGCTGATTTCCATTCACTTTCCTGTTCTAAAATTGTTGCATGTAGATACCCTTATGTTCTGCCCTGGTAACTACGTAATAGAAATTTTAGGCTGCAACTCTATGCAGAGAGAGAAGCTGTCAGCTATTAGTATTCTGAAAAAGTCAAGAAAGAATGCTTTGGGGAAATAAAGACTAATGAGATAGCTCTATTGCTGACAGTACTAAAAAATGACAGATACTCGTATAGGAATGAGGCATATGCAATACATAAAAAGACAGGATTGTTTTTAAAATGGATTATAAAGCATAGTAGTGATTTATGGATATTAGACCTTTCCAAATTACCTTCATAACCAAAAAATAAATTTTAGAAGCAGTTGGCATTGATGGAGTAGTTAATTTCCTGTAGCTATAATTTTATTTTAAATCTGGGGGAGGGAACTAACTTGCTGTTTCTTACTGTTAACTCTTGGACTCGGATGAATTGAAAGCACACCTGGATAAACTATAAAGGACACTAAGCTAGATGAGAAATATGTTTAGTGTGAAGGCTGGTTTTAGTGACGTCCTGTAGCTTATTTGATGCATTTTAATTTTTTTATTTTGTTATAATAAAACAAACTGTAATTCAGTTTAGTAAAATATCAGGACCATAAGTATAATAAAAATAATGTTTTATTTATAAAACTTATTTATAAAATTTTTATTTATTATAAAAATAACATTATCTATAATAGTAAAAAATTGACCATCTTCAGAGGTTGATTTTCTTTGATATATTTCATGTATGTTTTATATTCTAATTTAGAAAATAAAAGCTTATATCTCCAAGCTGTGTCCCAATTGTTTAGTCCTTAAACATTTTTCCTTCCATTTTTATCTACAGAGATTATAAGTTACAGGATGTTTCAATATACGTGGTTTATGAGGAAGCCTACCTCTGCATTATTATAGAACCAAAACATTTGAAATGAAGATGAATAAAGATGTACATATAGTTCTACTAGTAAGATGCAGTCACCACTTGAGAAAGTTTTAAAAACCAGTTTTAAAATATTTACTGTTGAGGGTTTGGGGAAATATTTGTAATTGAGGCCCAATCGTGTTATGACAATATTGCTTTTTAAAAAATTTAGACTGTTATATCAGTATGATAAAAACGTAGCATTGTGTGAGTCATCAGAGCAATGTATTTAAATGTTAAAAAATATTTTTACATATTAAGTGACTAAAGAGTGCAAAGAACCTCTTGTCTTTTTGTCAGTTAAAAATTTGTAAAAATATTACCTTGAAAAAGTAAAAGCATTTTTTGAAATGTAATCAATGAATATATCAATTTCATCTGATTTTATTTTTCTAAGTGTAATTTATATTATGTCCTTCTTTTAGAGAAAAGTCCTTTTCCAGAGATAAGAACGATTATTTTTAGCTTGGTAGAAACAATAGGTACAAATGGAAATTTTATGCAATGTTTTAAGAAGGGTTTTTAAATGAAAATATATGTATATATTTTGAATTTTATACTGCATATTTCATAATTCTAATCTTTTGTTTTCTATTTCTGAGTCTTGCTTTTCTTCTTATGAAAATTATATGATCCTTCCCCGTAGCCTAAAACCGAATAGAAATTTTGCCAGGAAGATCTCTTAATGAAGAACACGAGGCGGATTCAAAGTTTCAACCCTTTCTTTAGCTAGAACCAACAATTGGGAATTCTTGATCGTTATAGTAGAGTGCAGTCAGCATTTTTGGGACCAGAGTAGTCATCAACCTATTACAAGTCATTTTTTGATTAACCTGGTTTGTATTTAACAGACTTCTTAGACTATATAGGTAAACATAATAAAAGTTTCAGACCATTTGCTCTATTAGAGGCATTCTATTTCTTTTTACCCCAGCTCTAAACAGCAAGCTACTGTGGGTTTTTGGAAACCCTGTGGATTTCACCACCTCATTCAGAAGCTCTTTTCTTTCTTTCTTTTTTGAGCAGTGTCAAAGCTTGATCCAGTCCTTTTTACAAGTGGTCCTTTGTCTGCATGCGAAAGACCGTTCCATAGATGAAGTGCTGGGATTTGCCCTCATTGCAATAAGTCAGAAGGTGATCTGGCTGATAGGATTCCTTGAGTTGTACTCAGCCGAGAGCCTGGCCTGGGATCTGGGCTACTAAGTGCCTGAAAAGAAGAGCAATGATGGATAGTCTGTTTTCTTTCATGCTGACTTCTCCTTAATCACTAGAAAGCAGCAAGATCGATTTTCGGTCGTCACACACAGAGCTACACAATGCTCTTACTAAATGTTCTCTGTGTCAATGTGATCTCCCTTGCAGCTGGCTGAAGAGCTTCAGAACAAGCCGTTAAACAGTGAGATCAGAGAGCTGTTGAAACTACTGTCAAAACCCAATGTGAAGGTGAGGATATGTTACTTCTGTAAGAAATATCTTCAACAAGGGGCATTTTCTGAGACTTCATCGATGAATTTTGGTTTGAGCATCTGTTTTCAAGTAAATGTGTTTTCAAATAGTGTACAGTATTGTAATAGCCTAAATCCCGTTCAGGAAAAAGAGTTGATGATAACGTTGTGACAACTACAAAATGCTTTAATTGGGAAACTTAGAATTTAAGTTGGCAAATATAATGTAGCTTCAAGGTCATTTTACTTTTAAATAAAGTTAAGCGTACAGGATATGGAACCTATTAGTGATTTTGTTTAGCTTCATTTTACTTGGCTAGTTAGTGGTATTCCAATATATTTGACGACTATATCTATTTTTCTATAGGATTATTTTAGCATTTCCTTTCCTCCTCTCCATCTGCTCCTGTCCCACTACCGATTCATGTTTTAATATATCCTACCATTTTACAGAGTAGAACAGTTTTCTGGTGTAAAATACCAATAAAATATTGGTAGACAGATTTCAATTCTCCCTGCCCTTTTCCTCCCAAGTTTATCACTTATTTTTCCTGCAAAGGATAATTAGTCAACAGAAGGCATTCTGAAATTTTCCTGTGAATTCTAGTCATTAATGCACTAAATCCTAGAACCTATACATTTTGGACTTGATACTACTGCAATTGTATGTAAAATATTGTTCCACGAGCCAAAATGACATATAGATTATATAATTATGTCATTAAAATGGTAAATTATCTTATGATGATTTCTGTTAAGCATATATAGACTGTTGAATTAACATTTCTGCCTAGATGCAAAAACTAGTTTCTACCTTCCTTGAAAAATCTCCTTTGGAACTGTGCTATATATGATCTTAAACTGATGTTCAAAAAAGAAAGTATTAAATAAAAGATGAAGTGAAAACAAGCATGCACTATAATTTCTAATCCCTGTAAGTAAATATAAGTACATAAAATATATTGCTGTAAGGGTCAATGGACTATGATTAGTAATATGAGAGTGATTAGCTTGTAGTGGTACAGAGGAGATTGATTAAATTTTGCTTTTAAAAGAATAAGGATCAGATTAGAGCAGAGTAGTTGCTTTAATATATAGAGCAATATATAATGTCTTTTTATTAAACACAAAGTGTGTGGGAAGGTTAAGAGCTCAGAGAAGGAGATTCATAGCCAGAGAATGCTCTGAAAACTTCTTCATTTGGTCTTAAACTGCGCGTGAGGAGTTAATATTAACCAGAGCATGGTGAGATGAGCTATGAGAAGCTGATTAAACTTCTTTTTGAGAGTCTTGCCTCGGTTTGAGTATTAGAAATTAAAGAGGGAATGTTTCTGACAAAAAAAACCCAACAGCAACATGATTTTGGTATTCTATTCAAAGGTGTTTGAAATGGAATAGCTAATAATAAAGAGATTATACTGGATGGAAACTAGTATTTGGCTTGAGAGGAAGGTATGATTTTAGATGGTATTACGCAGCACCACTGGATAAAACTTTATAATTGAATACTTAAACTTTATTATGGCGAAAATAGTCTAGATGAATAATTTTGTTTATTTTTCATATTTATATAGCAGTGTGACTAAAAAACAAGTGAGAAATCAGCATGAAAGATGTATGTTCAGGAAATAATGTGCAGGAAGTGGGTAAGATTCCAGACACGTGATGTTGCAGTTGGCAGTGGCAATTTCTAGTTAGCCAGTCTTGGGGAAAAAATATCTTTCTTTCCTTTTTGATCTAACATTTAACATTGCTTTCCTTGAAATTATTTATATTAACCACCATCACTTTGAATCTCACTTTTTATAGGTAATTACTTTAAGAAATGCAGCCCCAAATAAGTTTTAGACTATTTCAGAATATGAAATATGATCAGCCATTCCTTTTTGTTCTGGGAATAAACTAAAATATTTACTTTTTTTTTTTTAAAGCAGAAGCAAGATACAGTAGAATATGATGTGTATACATGAAATTATTAGTTGAAATGACAGTTAAAATATGAAAAATGTAACTCTGGAGTGTTAATTTGAATATTGTCTTTAATTTTTAATGGATAAAGGAATTAATTATTTACTTTTTAAAGATTGCTTTACCATTTTAAATATTTAATTCATAATGCTGAAAAGCAATCTGAGGTGTACCTCCAAAGTAATATACACACAGACACATACAACCAAATATGTACCCACCGTGGGAAGGTAATACATGTATTCATAGATCTGCCAATTCTTTTTGAAACATTTTAAAACTTTCTTTGGTAATTTGTAAATGTCACTAGAGTCAGATCATTCATCATTCATGCATTCTTATATATTTATTCAATGCCTACTCTGTGCCAGGCTCCATAGATACAACTTGTAGAAAATATTTGAGATTAATGAAGATGACAGGAGAAATATTGGGTGAAAAAGGGAACACAGAGAAATAATGTGGAACAATTAGGAGTGGTGCTAAATCTAAACTTGGGTGGGAGGAAGGGAAGAGGAAGTGGCATACAAGTTGAGACCTCAGGGCTGAGTTTCAGGTAACCAGAAGCGGGCAGAGAGGGGAGGGATGAGTCAGGGGTGGGATGTGAAAAAAAAATAAATGTTTTAGGTAAGGTGAATAGTGTGTGAAGTCCCGTAAAGAAAATAGCTTGTCAAGTTTGAAGATGTAAAATAAGTTCCATATGGCTGATCAGTGGCTCGTAAAAGAGCGAGAGGTAAGAGTTTAGAGCTAGACAGTAGAGCCTTTGAGTAGGGGGCAGGGCATAATCTTGGTTTGCCCAGGATAGTCTGGTTTATGCCAGGAGTTCCAGTGTTATTATTTGAGAGAGAGAGGGAAAGCACTCTCCTGTCTCTCTCTTTTTTTTCTTTTTTTTTTTTTTTGGTGAGGAAGATCAGCCCTGAGCTAACATCTATTGCCAATCCTCCTCCTTTGTTCTCCCCAAAGCCACAGTAGATAGTTGTATGTCATAGTTGCACATCCTTCTAGTTGGTGTACGTGAGACGCGGCCTCAGCATGGCCGGAGAAGTGGTGTGTCGGTGTGCGCCCGGGATCTGAACCCGGGCCGCCAGTAGCGGAGCGCACGCACTTAACCACTAAGCCACGGGGCCGGCCCTCTACTGTTATTATTAATAGCCTCCCTTTCAATTTTAGTTGTTTCCTTATTTAGATGATAAATTATATGGCCACCCTAATTGTGAGCATATTAAAAAGTTTGAATTTCGTCCTAAGAGCAGTGGAAAGCCATTGAAATTATTTGAATAGGCAAGTGATACAATCACTCAGTATGTAGTATAGTTCCTCGGGGTGGAAGGGTGGTGGTAGGGTGGGAGGAATGGGATACCGAATGGAAGAAGGCGAGTGGGAGTCTGTAGAAATAATTCAGGTGAAACATGATTGTGGCCCTAGTGAAGGATGTGAGGGATTGACGAGAGGAAGTAGGGGATGGATGGAACTAGATATGACTTTAATACGTGGCCTTGGGGCAACTGATAAATCATTTGGGGAAAAATAAGAAAGACCCCTGCTAGAATGAATTCCAAATAGATTAAACATTTACATGTAAAAAATTGAACCATTATCGTGGATAAGAAGCATTTATAACTTCAGAGACAAATGGACAGACACACGAGAAAAGTAAAAAAAAAAAAAAATCATAAATGAGTTGGAAGGAATAATTTATTTGTGTAAATGATTTATATTTGTCTTTAGTAAGTGTAAGAGTTTATTACTTTGACTTTATTTTTACCTTTTACAAAGTGGCTTGATAAAGACTTTTAAAAATAAATAGAAAAATTTTTTTGATAATGCATTGTGTATTTTTGATTCAAACTATAGAGAAGTAGAAGCCTGTGTCCTCATTGCTTTATTAGTGAAGATGAGCATTGTTTCGTATGCTTAATGACTTCTTCTGTGAATTGTGTATTCATACACCTCCAGGGATGACTACTCTGAATTGGCTGCATTACCTTTCATCCCTTTTTGTTTACAGAAATATTGCATATACGTTTTGCCATTATAAATAGCATAATAGAATGCACTGCTTACTGTTTTGTGGACTTATAACATGTTGATATTTTGTGGACTTCTCTTTGGATCAACATAATTATCTACTTAACTTGTCTCTTAGGGGTGGACATTGTTGTTTCTGATTTTCTGCTATTTAAACAACACTGTAATGCCCATCTCTTGTATATTACAGGATTTTATTGGGTCAATAAATTGTTGTGTTAAAATATTTGTACATTTAAAATTTTGATAGTTATTGCCAGCGTGTCCTTAGCAGTAATCTAGACAGGTCCTCTTGATGTACAGTGCCTGCTGCAACAGTGCATGGAAAGATCCTTTTTCCCTGTGCTCTTGCAATGAATAGACAATTAGTTGCATAAGCCCTTTTCAATTAATATTCTTTTTTTGCTTTGCTAGTTGGTCACTAGTAGAATATATGCCAACACTTTTCCTATAAACTTGTTGCCTTCAAGTCTGGAATAGTTAGGAAATGACTAGTCATTCTGTAACAGTGGTCTCACCTGAGAACTGTCAAACATTTAAAAATTACACTCAATCTTTACAAATTGATTGGTCAGCATATGCAAAAAAATAAACAATTCTTATTACTCAATAATGTCTACGAAATCCAGTTTTATTGTCCAAATCTTAAAGTCCGGGAAAAATAACTAAGTATAAAAGAAACAACAGGTCATGAGAAAAGAGAAATGGTAGTGAGTAGCAAAAAGCCTAAATAGATGTAATAGAATGTGAAACCTTCGTGCAGTGATGGAATGGGCAAGAGCACCAATGCTGTGGCGTTAGGGGCACTGACGGAGGGATGTTGATCTCTATAGAGCCTTTGTATCTAGGGGAAGCGGAGGGAGTCATATTAATAAATAAGAACCACTCCTAGGCATCAAATTGCCACAGTCAAGGCAAATCAACCTCTGTGAGTCATCATTCTGTGGCTCATTTTTGATAAAACAGTGAAGTGACATCATCTCCTGAACACGGTATTATAAT